CCGCTCCATCCATCCCACACAGAAATGGCTCACACCCCCACCCAGAAACCTGGGAAATTCATACAATCCCTTGGGCGCCTCTGAGAGGCAATGCTTCCCCACTTGCAAGCACAGAATCTGAGTGTAGAAAAGAGACTTTTAATAAATGGAATTGAAGTAATTTGGCATTAATTTGGAAAAACATCACAAACAGAGTTCATAAACAAAACCCATGAATAAATGTTCCACTCCAAGTAGGTTGGGTAATGTCCTTTCCATTTTAGGTTCTTAAGTCCAGCAATCTGCATGCCCCTTTCACATGCCCAGCCTTTCTCTGTGCCCAAATCACATGCGCTGGCCTTGGTCAGAGCAGACCAAGAGTTTAGAGGTGCATCCACAGAGTTCACCTGCTCTCCTGAGTGGGGGGAGGTAAAGAAGCCTCTTACTCTGCTGTTCACTTGCCATCCACCTGCTTGCTGCTCTCTGCCACTGCCCTGCTCGCTATTTGTCTGACCTCTCTGCCATCTCCTTGCTGGATGCTGATGCCTTTCACCACCACCCTGCTGGCCAATTGTCATGCAACCACTGCTCTTCTGGTTGCTCATCATAACTCTCCGCTGCCATCCTGCTGGCTCTCAGTCACCAACTGTTGCCATCCACTTCTTGGCTGTTACTTCTATCCATCAGTCTTAAAGTGATTTCAGCTCCCAGTGATTTCAACTTTCAGCAATCAGGGTAGAAGAGACGTAACTCCAGCACAATTAATATAAGAAAAGAAGCACCTAATTATCAGAGGGGTGTGTGTGTGAGAGAGAGAGAGAGAGAGAGTTGGAGGTGAAGGGGGGAGAGAACAGGTCAAACCAGTCCAAGTAGGGGAAGCCAGATAATCTAACTAACATAACCTTCTCTCACCCCTCTCTTCTCAGAGACCTCTGAAAGTCGAGCCCCTGCATTTGCAAGATACTGTCAGCCCTTACCTACCTTTGGAACAATTTAGCACAATCCTACTTTTCTGTATTCCCACAAAATTACAAACATTGGCAACCGTATTTTCTCTGTTCCTGCATTTAATACAAACATAGCGTCTACAAAGACCTTTTACATCTGCACTTGAAAGGGAATCCTCTGAACTGTCATTCATGTTAAAATTCGACACTTACCACCAGGGACTTAACAAGTCTTTGAACTTTCTCACCCATTATCAAGACAGTTTCCCCAATTATCACCTGTAATACCATTAACTCACAAACATCCCACTCTCCCTACCTCTAATATCATCAATTCACAGACACTTACCTTCCTTCCTCCCCCTTCCCACCCCCCCGCCTCCTCCTTCTGTTCTGCAATGTGATTTGTCCTTTTCATATTTGTTCTTTTTTTTAATTGTATCCTTTGGTATATATGGTTGTGACTACTTTCTTCCACTATTTGATCTGAGGAAGTGGGTCTGGCCCACGAAAGCTCATCATCTAATAAACCATCTTGTTAGTCTTTAAAGTGCTACATTGTCCTGCATTTTGCTTCAACTACCCCAGACTAACACGGCTACATTTCTATCACTATTTACATAGACACACCCAGACTTTCTCTCCTATTCCAGCTAGCTGTAATGGAAGCATTCCTTTAGATCCTGCTTGCATTTGTGTGTGATAAAATCTAATCCTCTGGAGCTTAACTATATGCCTCCTTGATTTTCCTGAAAATAAGCCATGCTTGCTTTCAGGGATTTTTAAAGTGGTGCCAAAATTCCATTATATAACAGCTGCATCTCTTTCATTTAGTCAATAACCTAGGTTTGCTATCAATGATTTTTAATTTGAATAAGATGGAGGCAGAATATTCAGTGGTGATATAGCTGTGTCCGTCCCAGGATATTAGAGAGACAAGATGGGTGAGGTCATGTCTTTTATTGGACAAACTTCTGATGGTGCAAAAGACAAGCTTTCTAACTATACACAGCTCTTCTTCAGCTAAATACAAGGTCAAACAGATTAGCATAAGTAGTTAGCTCACATTCTAAAGGACCATTCAAGGTGAAGTGGTCTGTTAATATCACTGGAGTCCTAGGACTAAAAGAGGGGTTGTGGGTTACCGATTGTTGTAATAAGCCAGAGGCAGTCATGCATTAGTTGAGCACTTTCTATCACTGGTGAACAAAATCTGATTGCTTTTTGTATGATGCAGTTCAATGATCCTGCAGAAATATCCTCCAGATCTAAGCACATTGTTTTTTCTTATTTTAGTCACTCTATTTCTTTGAAAATTAGGGTAATTATAGTCCTGTCAGTATGCCATCGATCCTGGGCAAGCTAATGGAGCAGCTGAAATGGGACTCAGTTAATAAAGAATTAAGAGGATAATATAATTAATGTCAATAAGAATGGTTTTAAGGAAAAGATCCTTTCAAACTAATTTAATTTGTTTTTATGAGATAAATTTGATTGATAAATGTAATAGTATTTATGTAATATATTTAGATTTCTGAAAGGCAATTGACTTGGTACCATACAATATTTTGTTGAAAAAAACTAAAAAGATATAAAACAGGGCTACTCAACTTTGGAAGCCCCCAGGGCCACGATACTCTCAGCATATGCCGAGGGCCGCAACTTAATTGTGGTTGCATATACATGCAAATATATATGCAAATAGCTTCTTTCACACTGACAGGCATGAATACAAAGATTAAGGCAAGACTACAGAACACATAAGCCCTATTTAAGTCAGTTCTGCTGATATTAATAAAATGCAGTATTTACCCGATTTCCACCCATATGACAGCACTTTTAATGAGCAATGACAGTCCAGGAATTTAACTACTAAAATGCATATCAACAGAAGACCATTATATTGACTGCTTTTTTGTTTTGGCTCCCACCAACGGGCTGCATATTGAGTAGCCCTGATATAAAATCAACAAGGGATGTAAGTGACAAGTCGAGTCACTACTCAACTACTTGTTGTCGTGTCCCGTCTCCTCTCCTCTCTCTCTCCCCTCTCCCCCCCGTATCAGAGGCAGCAGGAGCTAGTGCTGGAGAGAGCTGGCTTAAAAGCTAGTTCCCCAGCACCATCTCTGCAGAGGGGAGCAAGAAAGGCAGAGGTGAAGGGGAGTCCCAGAGCTAGTGCGAGCCCGGACTGCTGAGTCCCGGGTCACATAGCCCTCAGGAGATAACCCAGTTGCAGCTCTGCATTTTAACTGTAGTAGGAGCCGGGATGCCTGCACACCTGGCTCCTACATTTAAACTGGAGAGCCACAGAGAAGATAGCGAGTGTCCCTCCTTATCAACTAATCGAGTAGTCGATAGAAATTCCTGGCAATTTTTAAAACAATTTTTTTTAAGATACGCACATTAGTCTGCGTTAGGTCACATTAGATTATCACAGTGGTTCCTTCTGGCATTGGAATCTATGTATTGTATCATCTGCTGTAGAACGTCAGTACATTTGTATACAGTGGAAATATCCCTTGCCATAGTCACCAGTAGTTGAGGAGGATGTTGTAGTTAGGTGGTAATAATATCAACAATATACCAAAACTGTTGTCTGCAATATTTATTGTAGTGCCTTGAAATAACATGGAGGGGTGATTCCTGAAACCATGGTATAGCTATTTTTAGCAGAAGAGAAAATCTTTGACAATATCTTGATTAAAAAATTCTCATATTTTTCATTTTTCTCAACCAGATGTGCCAGCATTAGTTTTTGGGCTTTCCATTCTTCCAGGCTTTCAGGGGAGAGAAGGAGAAAGTTCATAATACAATCAGTTCTAAATTTTTTCAAAGTGGATAAAAGATAATAGAACAAGATAGGGATGTAATAGTGTAATTGATTAACTGATTAACCAATAAGTAAAAGCTTATAGGTTAATGCTGTGGACTACATACGTTCTCCCCTCCCGCCGCCAGTAAATTCTTTAGCAGCCTGGCTAGCAGTGCGGCTCAGTACTGGCTTGCACCCGGTCTTGGACCTACCCTAGCTGCAGTTCTTCATTTAAAATATATTAGGAGCCAAGTGGGCAGGCAGCTTGTTTCAGTTCCAGCTCATGCTGGGTCTGGGAGCTCAGACCCTCCCCCACTCTCCTCCAGACAGAGACTGCTGCCACCCCGCACTGCTGCCTCTGTATCAGAGGCAGCAGCATGGGGCGACAGATAGCCAACTCATGAAGGAAGTTTTTAAACTAGCTCCCCTCATGGACTAGCTCCTGCCTGGCACCCCATGCTGTTGCCTCTGATACAGAGGCAGCAGTGTGGAGTGGCCAGGTGCTCCTCAGGAGTGGGGCTGCTGGCACTACTCTCAGGGGTTATAGAATATTTGAGTAATCGATAAGAATTCATGAGGGTAATTGACTATTCAATTAACCGATATTTAATATCCCTAGAACAAGAGCAATCTAGTATAATAAGACCTCTGCACAAATATTAATCAGAACACTGGTATATAGTTATTAGAATGTATGTATGTTCTAATGCACGTGACACTAACATTTCGTTGTTTCATTTGCCCCTTCACTTTCTTGAAAATAATCTTTTTTCCTTAAATATATTAGAGCGTGAAGCCGTTTGAGATCTACTGATGAAAAAGTATGTGTTGTGTTGTTACTGCCATGATCCTTATTTTCCGCAAAAGTCTGAATTTCAAAATTACCATCAGCAACAAGTTATAAGGTAGAGAGTACTGAAGTAAGAGCTTAATTCTAAGCACATACAGTTACAGAGCCTCTAGTTGTGAAACTATTATTAGCTCTGATAGGGCAATGTAATCAAGGTTATAGTTGTTAACAGAGCAATGAAATTTTTCATGGTTGGCTGTCTTATTAACTTACATATGTTAATTGCTGGGAGTGAAAGTGCTCCTTTCATTTCTAGGAAGACTCAAATCTTTGTTATTGAAGGACATTTCACAGCATTAAGAGTTAGAAGCCCAGAGTTGCAGGAGATTTCAGAAATAATTAATTTTAAAAAATTTAATTGTTTCTCTTTGAGTCTTGTTGAACAGTTTTGTAATTTCTTCTGCCTTTCTAGGCACACAGACAAATGGCCTGGACTTTCAGAAGCAGCCTGTGCCTGTTGGAGGGGCTATCTCTACAGCCCAGGCTCAGGCCTTCCTTGGACACCTTCATCAGGTAAAACCAAGACACATTTTAAACTGGAAGAGGTTTGGGAAAGAAATGGATGGGGGGAGGGGAGGTGATTTCTGTATAGCTCACAGCTGAATCCATGAATAGTGTAAAGGAGTACTGTCATCCTGAGCAGATGTGAGATTTTGTTCCCTGCCTGCTAAATATTGGAGGCCAGTCATGATTTATTTTACTGATCTGTAGCGCACACATCAAATAAGATGAGAATTATTATTTGGAAATAGCTCTTTTGGGGACTTCTAGATAATGGGAGCCACTACAGAGCCATACTTCAGCTTAGAGTATCTATAATTAAAACACCATCTGCCTTTCATAGTTCTTTCAAAAATTTCAATCTGAACAAACGAGTAGCATTCAATATTCCCTCCTTTCTGGGAAAGTGTCCGTTAGAATCAGAGGAGTACAAAGACGAGGCCAGACTGTGTCTTCTCTAAAGAATTATATTTGCCCAGAAATTGCCCCAACATGAACCTGAAACTTGTTGATACCCAGTTAAAGAAAAGAGATATGGTAGTCCTCCTGTCCCTTCTCATGCTCAAAGAAAGCTTAAAATGGTGGAACTAGACAAACATGTTTCTACAAATTTTTGAGAGATTTTTTAGGAAGATTTATTTCATGGAGTTGTTTGCCATAGAATATTCAGCCTTCTATTTCCCTTAACCGTTTCTCTACAGCTACTGTTATGGAGTCAAAGCTATACTTCAGAGATAGGGTGAAAGGAAATAGGAGATATTTTTGTGTGTGTGTCTGATCACATGTAGGGTCCAAGAACAGATGTCCTAAAATTTCTTTCCATTCTCTGGCACCAAGTTTAAACTTAAAATTTACTAGAGCTAATTGGCTGACCTTAAATGTTTTGGGTCGGAGGTTACACAGTCATTATGGTATAATTGAGGTACTCAGGCTTTTATGCTCAGTGACGAGCACAGAGCTGCCATATTATTGTACTGAGCATTCAGTACTTTTTTGTCACAATTATAATTTTCCAGGGGATGGAGAATTTCCTAGGACCTGTGGCGTAACATTGTGAATGTTTTAGTACACTGAACCACACGGCTGTTTGAGAATGCCTTTCTGATACACTTTGCTCGGTACCCTGAATGTGGGTGTTAATATAGTATACATATTAGCAGCTCTGTAGGTCTTTTGTGTTTTGTTACAGCTTGTTTTAATGTTCATTTTTCATGTGAACTTACCTGAAATCATTAATCAGTAAATTATTTTGTCACTTACCTGGAAATGATTTTTAAAAAGTTGCCAGGATCATAGCTTTATATGTTACAATGTGTGCTTCATTTCTTGATTCTGTAGTTCCAAGCTACCTTTAGACGCATCTGGCAATGGCTAGTGTCAGACTGGTTACCACCTTATATATGAACTATTAGTCTCTTCCAGTGTAGGAATTCTTAGTTATGATGGCTATGATTACTCTTAAGGTGGAGTGCTCTACTCCTAGCCAATGCAAAATACAATACAAGGTGCCATTCAGCAGCAGTCTTATAAAATACTCCAATAAGAAAGTGTGTGCATAGGGTGGGGACAGGAAGAGAACAATAAAATTTATGTTCAAGTGTGTGCTAGCTGCACTTAAGACCCCTGCATTTGTACAGTCACCTTTTAGAGCTGCGAGAGGTAAAAATAATTACCCAAGTTATTTCTCTAGGACAGCTATTTATGATTGTGCTATTTTTCACTAATGTTTAAATTTTGAAACACCACAGGCAAGGTAAATTAAACTAAATTGCAACAATCTGAGGGCTTTTCTAGTGATGAACTATATAGGACAACAGGAAAGGAAATATCTATATATATGTTTGACTGCATTTGTCAAGAAATCCTCCTACACAATAAGAGCGAGGGCCACCAAATTTGGTATGTAGCTTCCTCTTCTCCTAACTTAAAGCAAAATCAGGGTTTAGTTGTGCCAGGACAACGGGAAGCCCCAAGAAAAGGACTATTTTCTATAACATGGAAAAGGAGGGGCTGCTGTTTGAAAGGACATGATATGAGAGTGGCCACTGGGGGCACCAAACCCGCAGGAGAGAGCTATATGTGAAGTGGCCAACTGGGCTTGGGGCTCTGCCATCTTGCCTGCCATCACACCAGTAAGTAGCCCCTCTGCCCCAAAGCCTTGAACCCCTCCGTACCCTTGGCCAGAAGAGGGGGCTGGAGACAGAGAAAAGGCCCATGCCAGATGGGACCCTCTGTCCCGAACCTCTTGTCATCCCCCATCCCTCATTCTCTCTCTCACACACACACACGGTTTCCTACATTTCTCCCCCCAACCCTCATCACCAAGGCCATGCCCTGACTCCTGCACTACCAGACCCTGGCTATTTGTTTTTCTTGTACTCATATGTTTCTTGGTTCCCAGTAGAACAGTAGTTGTCAAGCATCAAATATTCCACAGGTTATAATCCTGCCCCTTGGAAGAATTGACAATCATGTAACATTTTTCCTTTATACTAGAATTGTTGGTGGTAACATGAGGAGGGTCATTAAAGCTGGATACAGTGTATGAATGTATAATTTATGTGGTAACAGAGAAGAGATCCTTTTCCTGTTAGTAATAGTTTTGTTCCTATCTTGCTCCTTTAAAATCCCAAATTCTGGAATGTTGCTTTAATTTAATTTTCCTGCCTCTCCCTCCTCTCCCTTTCCCTCTCTCCCGTACCCCATGGATTCCACATGCTTTTTTTGGAATGACCCAGGTCATCGATCACAAAATTTAAGTTTGAATACACTTCAGTCAATGCTACCCTTGTTAAGGGTATCATGTCCTCTATAGGTAAATTCTTTTTGAAGTGCTTGGGTGATGGACTAGTCTGAGGGCAGTTTTTATGTGGTGTCTGAGGTTCCTGATGCATGTGTGCATTTCCCATTGTGTGATATAAGGAAGGTAGTGAATGCATGTGTCTTTGGAGTAATGCCTGTTCTGAAGTTAGGAAGATAATTAAATGGTTTTTGTTAAAAAAAACCAAGAGATTTCTTCATAAAATTATATTTCCTAAAGAATGCTCACCCACCCCAAAAATTATCCATTCATAGTCAGATTTATATCATCACCCAGAGTTCCTCAGCTGACAGAATCTTTTCTCATTAAGCGGTGGACAGATAACACTGTGCAAAGTCCATATGGACTTATGTTTAATATTTCTCAGCACTGCCCCTGCTTTCAGATACTGCAGAATGTTTGGGGGAGGGTCTGTGTTTTATCTTTTAGATTTGTATATGACTGTTACTTCACTTCATCTCAGTTCTTTGCACTGTGTTGTAGGTCCAGCTCGCTGGAACAAGTTTACAGGCTGCTGCTCAGTCCTTAAATGTACAGGTAAGGACTGCCCTCCTTCTCCAATTGTCCATCAAGTATCTATTCCATTTAAAAAAAGCAAGAGCAACAAATGGTCTGGTAGCACTTTATAGATTAACAAAACATGTAGATGGTCTCATGAGCTTTCATGATACCATCTACATGTATTATTAGTCTATAAAGTGCTACCAGACGATTTGCTGCTGTTTTTTGTATGGACTAACTCGGCTACCCCCTGAAGCTTCTGTTCCATTAAAGATAGTTTTCAGGCTGTGATCTGTCATATTCTAATTATGTTTGTTTAGATTTGTAAATGTAAAGAGAGGTTGAATAGTAATGGTTTTACAGCTTCAGACCAGATGGGTGATGGTCAGCAGGAGGAGCTGGTTTAATGCTTGGTGCTCATAATTTTGCGCCAGAGATTAGTTGCAGTTGTCGTACTGCATTTAAAACCTCCAATATTTTACATGTTCCTTTATTACAGCCTTGTTTTAATCATAGATTATTTTGCAAAGTGTTTTTGGAAGTTGAACATAAGGGGCTGATGTAGCATTGATTTTTTTTTTTTAAGATTGCTGGTATGGGTCAACTTGAGTTTTCTTCAGCATCAAGCAAATTATACCTAGTAAATTAAAAACAACTTGGGCTACCTGCTCTTCATTGATCTACATGGCCTAGGAAAACATTGAAACTTTATGTGAATGCAGTATACTCCATAGCATTTCAATCAACCTAATGCTTCCTTTCAATACAATATTCAAGCAATATGCCAAAAGGGGAAAGGGATATAGTTTTGTTGAAAACTGGTTTCAATATTTCAGTGAACTAAAGAACTGGGATAGTACATTCCATGAAGCTAAATAGGACATGGACCCAGTTACATGTGATGATGCTTCAGAAAGAATGGGGAGATATAGTGATCTTCCTTTTTAAAAGAAAGAAGGCAGAAAATTGTCTTGGTTGCCATGGTAAACTTCCATCCCTGAGAGAAATGTTGGCAAACAGGCTGTATCACTAGTGCAGAATGTTTACAGTCCTATGCTGTAATTATCTCTCAATGACTGGCAGAATTAATCAGAGGCTTTATGTTAATTAGCCTGCTCTGCAGTCCCCAAAACAGGTGGTGGAAAATATGCAAATCTATGCAGAATTTTAATGCTCTGCATAACCAGTTTTAATTACCATAAAACCCTCTCTTTCCTCTTCAGACACTCTTGCATTTCCTCCCTGATGGCTGCAGTATTTTCTTCTGCATTTTTTTGAAAAAAACCTGATTAAGTAAAACGCTGCACAACTTTATAAATGCTATTTTTTTTATTTTAAAACACTCTTGTGTAGGTCTTTTTGCAAGATTTAGTGAAGTATATTAAGGGCATTTCAAATCAGTTCCCTGTTTAGCTAGCATTCTGTTGACTTGAGGTCCTTAATGCAGATGTATGAAAAAAAAACACTCCATTGTTCTGGATTTTAATCCATGAATAATTTTAAGTGCTTTATGGTGGGCAGATACTTTTTAATCGCAGAGAAAAAAATAACATCAACTTCAGTGAAGGTGCAGCAAACAAAGCAAGATCTGACAATATTTCAGGTACAAAAAGAATTAGGTGTTTTGTTTTGGTTTAACCCTAAGCTGTATTAGCTACACATGTTTGAGTAGTCATAGTTGAGACAGAGGGCACAAAGAGACATTTCTTAAATCCACTTTTAAAATAAACCCAAGGGCTTTTTGTATGAAGATGAGATATTTGATGTAGTGTAGAGATGATAGTGTACATATTAACATCTGTTTTACACTATAAAGAGTTATATTTTTTTCCTAGTCTAAATCTAATGAAGAATCTGGGGACTCCCAGCAGCCAAGCCAGCCTTCCCAGCAGCCTTCAGTGCAGGCGGCCATACCCCAGACCCAGCTCATGCTGGCCGGAGGACAGATCACCGGGGTAAGGTTTACCCAAGAGAATTGTAGTAAACCTCCTGTCTGACAGTACTGCCGTCATTCACCATCCAATTAGAATTACCCACAAAATAGATAGTAGAGTGGCTGTCCAGGGTTAGTGTCATTTCATAACAGAGGAAGTTTTACACAAGTGGTAAGGAGAGTGAGAACTTTTTTATACAAAAAGCAGTCTGCTTGTCAGTAGTTCTTAGCGCCTGGTGGTGGTTGTAGATATTTTTATTACAATATTATAATTTCTTGGTTCCTGTTCTTTTTCTCCTCCTTGTCAAACATAGGGTTTTCATTTCATTGCTAGGTTATTAGCCTGTTGTAGAAGTCATTGATATCAAAGTTAACATTTTGACTTCACTGCAGAACTATACAGAAGCATGAGAGGAAAACACCACATCAAAATGTGTAGCAAAAGTGATGGGAACTTTATTACAATATATAATCCCTAATTTTTTAAACATTTTGCGAAAGGCATGCTTAAGTTTATAGTCTCTTAGCACCTCTATCTTTAGATCTCATCAACCTTTTTGCCTATGCCCAACAGAATTCAGCCCTCTCCATTCAACCTGACAGTATTTTATTTGTTTATTTTAAATAGCAAAGTTTTGGAGGTTTGGAAGATTGTTTATTTTTAAAGGGCAATCCTTGTGATTTTGTAGAACCCCCATCCATGTTTAAAATGAATTTAAAACACATTTGAAAGTGGCTTAGTTTGGCTGGAGAAGTTATTTCCATTTCATCAGCTCTGCAGATTGATCATTTTGCCCATGAATTGGGAATTAGGTTATCTTGTCAGTGCATTGGGTCTGTGATTTTAAATGATCATCACCTGCAAATTTGAATGGCATCATGTCTAATTCAATCATTTTTGCTGTGGAATCCTCAAAGTAGGATAGCTGTGTAGATTACCAAGGCCTACATTTAATGGATTTTGTTTAATTTAATTTGTATTTTGTTATTTTAAAGTATTCATTTTCAATAAATTACATGGTAGAAGAAATTTATTAAAACCTATTCTAAATTAATCATTTTTGTCTTCTCTGGTGAATGTCTGTGGCACTGAGACATCAAAAACTCCAGGTTTATGTAGATGGAGATTGTATTAAATGTGGACATTCTGATTCATTTACATGTAAAGGAGAGACTGTTGCCACCTGTTTCATAGAGATAATGTGTGTTTGGAAGAGGGAAGGCATGTAAACTTGCCAACCCTATTCTGTTAAAAGGAAAAAGGCAGATGGGAAAAGAGACTAGGAGTAAAACAAATGGAGCTCATGTTCTTCACTTATATCTTAGGGCATAATGGAAATGATGGAACATGGCAGGGATTCATGCTAATGTGAGGCAGCTGGGGTGTTATCAGTTCATTCAGTAGCCACAGCTAGCACTCCTGCTTTTCTTTCATCTGGCTAATCACTTGCTGTTCTTATGGGTGTACGTTTCCTTTCAAATCCTGTTGAGGCTGATTTTTTCTTTTTGCTTGCTAGTTAATTACCTTTTTGCATGAACCTTGGAGTACTGCTGTGGAGAAGCTTATGTGATTCCTTAGGTTCTGATGGCAACATAACACTTAAAATATAAATGCTTCTACCAAAATTGTGCTGTAGGTTGATTGCTATGTTATGTTGAGTAGCCAACTGCCCTTGTATAAGGTGCCTAGGTTGGCTAATGTCCATTGCCTTGTAGTCTGCAATGGGAACTGTTCTTTCTCTTGTTAATGACTATTGTAATTGTTTCTAGCTCACGTTGACACCAGCCCAGCAGCAGTTGTTATTACAACAAGCACAGGCACAGTTGCTGGCAGCTGCAGTGCAGCATTCAGCCAATCAGCAGCACAATGCTGCAGGCGCTACCATCTCGGCCTCCGCTGCGACACCGATGACGCAGATTCCTCTTTCTCAGCCAATACAGATTGCACAGGTGAGCACTGGTGTTTGAGTGAGTTGAGGGTTTGAGATTTAACCTGAAAAAGACCATCTACTTGTTCAAGTGGCCTCTCTATATTTTCACTTGTGGGATCAATGCACCTGTGCCATAGGCTTCCAGAATTTTCAATTGAGCAGAGCCATTCGGATCACTCATTCCTCCTTTCTCACCCCTTCATGGGAGCCTTCAGGGAGTCTAAAAACATGTGATCCCAGCTACCCCTCAATTTTACTCACTGTTGATGATGTCACAGACATTGTCCTCAACACTTCCCTGGTCATTTTTCATTTCTTACTTTTTTGGGGATATTTGTATTTGTAATTAGTTAGTTTTTCTTAAGAAAGAGGGGGTGAAAGATGATGTCCATATAGAATGGGAATTGTAGGACCAACAGGATCAGGAGGGTGGCCTTGTATCCCTACTGACCTAGAAAACTCTTTGTGCAAAGCCAACTATGTACCTGACTTAGGCAATTGGACTTTGGATACCCACTTCTCACGCCGGCTGTGTGTTTGATGCAAGTGGCATTAAGGCTCCTGGATCTTCCCTTGTGCATCAGGTCCAGCACCTGAGATCCAGTACCATTTGTTACTGGAAAACTGCTTGCTAAAGTGGTTCAGGTGCCTGGATCCACCCAGGTTGAAATCTTGTACTGAGGGTCCATCACCCTTACTTTGGATAAGGAGTTCTTCAGAGAACTCAGCAGGAGTGCCCAGCAGGAGTAGCCTTGAAGTCCTTGGATCTGTCCAGGTTAACCTTGTCAACTGTGGAGAACCTGGAACCATTGATTCTTAGCATGTGCAGCATGGCGGTCTCTAGGTCCTTCCAGACATATGTAACGAAATGTAGACCCCAAGGTTATCGAATTAAGTCTGTTTTTTGGCCTTGTCTTCAACACATCCTAGAATTACAGTTCCTGCACACACTACAGTAAACTTCCGATAATCCGGCACCTTTAGGTGCTTTCACTCCCTTTGCTTTCATTCAAAGGATGATTTGACTATAGAGAGGATGAGCCCGACTTGTAGAATGAGTTGAACAAGTGATTTGGACAAGGTGCCTGATTGGGATAGGAGGGGAAAGATTGGGACTGGAGGCTGGCTAAGAGTTTTCGGTGGGAGGAGACTGGGCCTAGGAACAAGGTGTGGAGACCAAGCTTGGCTGCTACAGGGACTGGTAGTGACTAGTCATGGAGACTTAGACTGCAATTGAGTAGAGTGTGGGAAAGGAGATCTGGAAGGAGCTGGGGTAAATTAGAACTTAGCGAGCAAAGAGACTGAGATGAGAAGTTTGGGTGGACAGGACGCTAGATAGAATGAACAGCCTAGGGAGAAAATTGGGCATAGGGAATGTGGGGTTTTGGGAGATTGGAGGACAGCTGGTGAAGACAAACAGATGAGGTAAGGCAGGAGTAGAGGAATGGGACTGATTAAGAAGAGTGAGGAAAAAGAGCTGGGGATTGGGTGGGAACTGAGCAAGGAGACTGGGACTAGGAGTCCAGATAGATCACACAAGGGCTTGTTGGGCAAGGGGAATGTAACTGGGATGAAAAACCTGAGGAATGGATATTGGGACTGGCTAGTTGAAAATAGGTGTGGGATCTAGAAACAAAACAGGTTGGAGTGGATTAGGTAGAAAGGAGCTCAGCTGGGGTCAGTGGGCGGAAGAGTTTGTGCCAGCTAAAGTATGCTCCTTTCCCCCATCCCAGAATGGGACCCGACATTCCTATCAGCAAATATCTGTGACTTCGATTGACAGTATCCCATCCTCCTCTAGCACTGGTTCACATAGATGATGAGAACCTACTACTGCTATCAACTAAACCATAATCTGAAGTGACAAAGATCTGTGCAGTAGATCTAAATATTGCAACCCTGCTGAGGGCTCATGTGTTTCTATGATGCTACATGATGGAATTTCTGGGTTTTTTTTCAGTCTATAATCAGGTGGTGGCATACAAAGCTATGCTAAAAGAACATTATTAAGCTTAAAAATAAACACCCAGAAATTAGGGAATGTCAGTATAAATGTTGCCTTTGTGTGCATATGCAGGGCTCGACAAATAATGCAATCTGCTCGCCTGTGGCAAGTAGATTGCAACCTGGAAGAGCCGGGTTCAGGTGATCTGTGCATGCACAGATTGCCGGACAGTGCAGGTGGCGAGCAGGGCTCACTGCGGTTCGGCGAGCCCTGTGCATATGCATTATGATACAGTCTTTAATCACATGATTACATACCACTTATTCTGCAGTACCCTTATCTCGTTCAGAGCACAGGATAAAACTGCTCTGAGGATGACTCAAAGTTGGGTAATAAAGATGTCTGTTGTATGTAGGAATCCTACTTCATTTGTTTCTGAAGCTGGAACCTGGTGGATAGTGAATGAGGGAGAAAATTGCAGGAAGAGAAAAGACAGTATTATGGTTAAGGAAGCTAAGTGCTCCTCCTGTTGAGCTGAATTCTAGAGTCTGTCTTTGTCTCTGCCTCAGAGTTTCTATGGGGATTCTGAGCAAGTCCTTAAATTAAATTTTTCAAGGGGTCACTAAATGGGTGCTGAACTTGCGACAGTGGGGGCTGATTTGTAGAAGTGCTGAGTACTCTCATTAACATTAGTTCCAACTGTGAACTGTCTTTTGAACATGTGAAGTGGAATATAATACTAGGTAGTTGAAAAATTTGGTTTTAGGCAACTAAAATTGGGTACCAAAAATAGATGGGTACCTATTTACCCTAATCTCTTTGTTCTTCATCTCCTCAGCTGTAAAATAAATTAATTCAAGTTTGTAAAGTATCTAGATGCTGTAGTGATGAGAGTGATACAATAGCCCTTGAAAAAATTAATTCTGTTTTTAGAGGAGAGTTTGAACAATATGCAGTAAGTAAGGTCTTCAGCCACACACTGATCAAGGAGGAAACAAAATGTTGAATAGTGCTTTATTGATGAACTGCTATCCATATTTTGCACTGAATTAGGCAGTTTTTTCTCCACTCTGCTCATCTGAGGAAGTGGGTTTTGCCCTCGAAAGCTCATACTATATCTATATCTATATTTATTTATTTATTTGTTAGTCTCTAAGGTGCTACGGGACTACAAGCTTTCTGTTGACTTTACTATTAATGTTCTTTTAATACATATTTTTGGTATGCAATTATAAACTAACTGCTTTCTATTCCTCTTTATAAAATTTAAGTGTGACCCTTGGCTTCCTGGTCAGATGAAAGTTGAGCCCTTTGTTGGGCATAGTTGAGAGAGACAAGTTTTCAACAAAGAATATCTTCTATAGTTGCAGATGGATGGGACCATGCTTTCCAATCCATCTTGACACTGATCTGTAAACAACACACAGGTTTGCTTATTTGCATTGCTATTGTAAACACACAACTGATTACCCAAATAGCCGACTGTTTGTTTTAAGTGATGATACTTGAATAATTGATTAACTGGCAGGTTTCAGCAGCAGGAGGATTACCACATTTATTTTAATTAACTAATTGCACAAGCATTGCCTATTTAATGTACTCTGCAGTTACATCTCTGCAGTATGTTGCTTGTGCTGAGTAAGATTGTTAGTCCTGCTGCTGAGCTGATTTAGAAGTACCACTAACAGTTGTGGCAAGTTTTGAGGTCTCTAGATACTGGGCCTTTTGTTCATCTTCTGTTGTGATCTGTTGTAAATATTTGACTGAAATACATGTCAAAGAGGGAGAGAAATACTTAGGTTTGTACATGGGTTAAACCTAGGAGTAACAGTATGGAGCTAAGAAAATTTCAGATGGAATTGCTTCATCCTGGCAAGATTTATACAGGAATAGTTTTCTAAAGAAAGTGATGGAAGTTGCATCAGACTTGACAAAACATGAAAAATTGTATACTATACAGCTATGTTGGTTGGATAGACTAGATGTCCTACTAAATATTTTTTTCCTATCTAATGATCCCTGGTTGTTTGTTTAATCATTAAAGTGAGAATTATTATAGTGCTATAGTTATCTAAAACATTAGGAATAGATGCAAGTGATATAATATGAATGAGTCTAAGATGCACTTCTCTTCAGCCAACTCTTCCAACAAGCATTAATAGCATTATAGCTAGGGTAAAGTTCCCAGTTCAAAGAAGGCTCAACCAAGCTGCTCGTTACCAAGATCAAGATGGGGAGAATGGCACTGATAATATTAAGTTTCCTCCTTCTTAGCTAAGATGACTCCCAGAAAGATAATTTCTCACACATGTTCTCCTAACCATCTGGTCATTTGCAAGATTATTGCCTGTCCTGTATTTATAGGTGGTTCTTTATGCCATTTCCATGAGGTAGACCTATACTGTAATAGTTCTAGTGGCATATGACCAACTTGTCAAGTATTTTAATAAATAAATAATCACTACCATGTGTGGTGGTTGAGCAGAGAGAGAAAACTAGAACGATACTACAAATCACATACTTAATGCAACTTCTGACATTGCTATCTTGGTCACTGATGTGATTTGTTTGGTACAGTTTTCAGATTTTCTGCCAATTCAAATGTTACTATGTAAGCTGATTTCCAAACTGTTAAACAAAAAAAAAGTTTTAATGCAAAAGTTTGCATAATGAAGGATGCAAAATGATGAAATGCAGAAATTACTGTTGAAAGGGCAACCATAACTCTTCTCCCAGGATTATAATGCAGTCTTAAATTACCTGAGTTCGTGGTATAAAATTGTACATACATGAATTCAATGATGGGACAGAAAATGTATGTCTGAGATAAATATTGTGGAGAGTTTAAATGCCAAGGATAGAGAGTAATTTAATTTAGTGAGACCTGTAACTAGCATGATAGATGAGGCTATACTGAGAATGAGATTTAATTATCTAAGGGAAAATTATACCAGGTATCATAAACTCTCTGGATTGAAGCTTATTAGATATTGGTAGCCCAGTTGTTTGGAATTTTTAAAGCTCTGTTGGAAAAATAGAGTATATTCTGTAGGGAACAATCTAGTGCTTTCAGAGAAAAAGTTTACATGACCTAATAACTTAGCCAAGAACAAAACCAGCCAAATAAAAGTAGGTGACTTCTATAAGACACTGTGGGGAGGTGCAAAGAAGAGTTAATCATAGGCTCCCCAACACCTAAAAATGTTTTTCATTAGATGAACTTGAAAGGTATCACGTATAAAGTATTTGAATGTAGTTGGGTCCCGTCTACAATTGTGAACTAAAATCGGTTAATTTACCTTTCCAGAATGCAGTAGTCTCGTTGAAGGGTATAGGGTATTTTGGGAGCAAGTTGAGCCTGAATCCTGTCTGATTTACACTTATGTATGAAAAGTAACTCCATTGATACCTGTAAAGTTACACTGTTGTAAAACAGATGCGAGGTCAAACTCAGATCTGGATTTTAAACACAGATTACTCCTATCTTTATTGAGATTCAGCAGTGTTTTAAGTTAATCATGTCAACAACAGCTTCCATATTTTAACTAGGTCTCCCACTTATTAGATTTGATAGCATAGGCAAGAAATAAATCCAGATGTTTTCCCACCTCTATTTCTTGGATCCAATGCTGTCTGCCTTGTTCTCTTCCTTCCCACTTTTTCCTTAAATGTAATGATTTTCCCAACTCCCTGCAGTGACATGTTTCTTCTTTTTTCTGGTTCCTCTCACTCTTTTGTCCCATCCCCCTTCTCAAGATTGTCTCTCCAGCACCCATTCTTGAGGATCCCATTTCTCAGTTCCCACGACCTTCCATCCTTTGATCTCTCTTAATATCTTTATTCCCAAGGGCAGGGATGAGTAATCATTTTTGAAGGGGGGAACACTGAATTTCAGAAGTGGTCATGGGCTGCCCTGGAAGGAGCTGGGCCTCAGGCAGAAGGGGTGGGTCCAGGACACCTGGTGTGCTCCTCAGCTTACAGACCCTGATTGGCTGGGGCGAGTGTGTGAAGTCTTTGCCCCATGCCCTGCCAGGGCACATGCCACCTAGTGATAACTTCCAGCTGTTTTGAACAGCTGGTGCTTCTCTCTCAGCTCTGCGCACCCCTGGTGCAGGAAGGAGACTTTACATGCTCCCCTATTCCCAGATCCCTCTGTTTCCCTCTAGGTGCCACACAGCCCTAGTGGCGGGAGGAGACTTTGTGCACTCCTTCCACTCCAGGTCAATTAGGGTTTGGGGGCAGGGTAGCGCGTGATGTCTTTGGCCTGGCCCTGCCCTGCCCTGTCAGGGGTGCGCAGTGCCTAGAGGGAACCGCCAGCTGTTTTGAATTGTTGGTGGTTCCCTCTAGGCACCACGTGCCCCTGGTGCGGGGAGGAGACTTCGCATGCTCCCCTGTTCCTATGTATTGATTTGCCTGGGGGCAAGGGCATGGTGGGGTGGATGCGGGTGGGATCAGTTGGCTTGGTGGGCCGAATCTGATAATGGCTGTCTTGCCTCTCCCTCTCCCCACCCTAGGGGATCTTTTCCCTAGGAGTTGGTTTCCTGCCTTATCCTGTGACTCCCCATGAACTTTTGCATCTGGTTCTCATACCTAGTGTTCCCAAGGCTCTTTCCATAATGGTGATCTGTTCAGAAGTTGCCTATTTCTTTCTGTATCAGCACCCAATGGATTTTGGATACTTCCATGTGGCAGACATTTAACCTTATGTTATCCTGACCCATATCATGTTTCTGGGACCAAGAAACAAGTTGTTTTTACCAGCTCTCTTGGCAGGATTCCACCTAAGCTTAGCCTTATTAAACAAGGCCAGAAGTAAATTGAATCTCTAGCAAAATTGGAGCAAGCAAACTTGTCAGAGATCTGAAAGTGATTGCAGTGCTTCCAAAATTTCCTGAAACTGTGTGTTGAAAATAGGCTTGCAATTTAAATACTGCAGTAAAAGTCTGCAATTGTATAACAGGCATCATTCGGTCAGAGCCAATTAGTGTTTACACTTGTGGATTTACCAAGAACAGAATGACCAAATGGTGGCTAGGATGTGTTTTAGATTAGGAACTCTTTTCCTTATGTGCACATGTATATAGTTTATACGCAAATATAAACGTATATATACGAAAAAATATCTGTAAGTACTCCTGTTCCTTTGTCCCCAAATTGTTGTCGTAATTCGGTTTTGTTTTGTTTTGTTTTATTTTTAATTTAACAATTTTCAATTAATCTTATATTGGTATGGGTGAGAGGAAAGTCAGAAGGCTGGCTGGGACGGTGGGAGGTTGCAGTTTTGGAATGTGCTCTCTTCCTGAATTTTGCGCACCCACGCTTTGCATGTGTTTTTAAAGAGCATACATCTCAGTGAAATGATTAAATTGATTTTGTATGCTCAGTACACAATTTTCAAATGTTCTTAACTTCATGCAATCAAAACAAGCTTGTTTTCAAACTCAACAAAAGCACTAATCCTTAAAAGCCAGGCTAGTAATGATGTAATTAATAACAGAAATCATTTAGGTCATCAGTATGCCTCTTCGCTATCTACATGCCAGGTTTCAACTTTCTAACTTCAATTGGTTTTAATGTATTAATGTTCAAACAAAAGTGCACAAGGCTAGCATTTTTTTAAAAAGAGCTATATTGTGTGTCTTCACACTCCAGCTCAAAAAGATCAAGAGAAACTCCTCAAATTCTTGGTCAGACAGAGTAAGCATTAAAATCTTCACCCTGGAAAATGAATGAGTAGATGTAAACAGACAACTTAATAGATGAAAGTACAGGTGCGTCTATCATACCTGCTAGAGTAACCTAGGGTAATTTTGTTTTAAATAACTCAAATAGATTAGCCAGTGAAGCACTTTTAATTGTTATTTCTGTTTTTTAAATGAAAGAATAAGCTTAGTTATTCAGTACTAAGCATACTGGTGCTAGGTACACTTTTATTTCCCAGTGCTGGAAGAAAGCTCTAGAAAGATATTTCAGATGTTTTAGGACTTGACTGATTTAAATGATTAATGCATACCTTTTTATTTCATTAAGGATTTGCAGCACCTGCAGCAGCTCCAACAGCAGAATCTCAACTTGCAACAGTTTGTGTTGGTGCATCCAACAACCAACTTGCAGCCAGCACAGTTTATCATCTCACAAACGCCACAAGGGCAGCAGGGTGAGTGTGACCTTTCTGGGAGAGTTTCAGAGCTGGGTTCAGTGTGAATAGTTCCAAGAGTCCTTTTGTGTCTCCCCCATTATTGACATTCCTTTATGGAAATAGTCTTTTTGGGTTTAAGGCTAGAATCGCTGCAAGAGCTAGCCCTTCTAAAAAATTTGAGGTTCAGTCTCATTTGTGCTACATGTGTTCTGCCTTGTGAACCTTTGCTTGCTGGATTACACTAAACTCCATTAGATGAAAGAGAGCACAATTTCTCCCTGCTGATCAGATTGTTACAGTAAAACTCCGATGGTCCGGCATCTGATGGTCCGGCACTCCTGACGGTCCGGCACCATCAGGAACCCGGAAGTGCTCCGGGCAGCCGGACCATTGGAGCTGCTCTGCCCCCAGCTTCCATGATTCAGCCACTGCTAAAACTGACCAGCAGCTGAATCTGGGAAGCCAGGGGCAGAGCAGCTGGAGTGCTGCTGGATAGGTCCCTTAGCGCTGCCCCTCGGGGCTGCGGTACCAACCCAGCAGCACCCCAGCTGTCCCCGATTCAGCCCCTGTTGAAACTGACCAGCGGCTGACTCCAGGAAGCCTGAGGCAGAGCTGCTCTGCCCCGGCTTCCCGGAGTCAGCCGCTGGTCAGTTTCCGCTGGTCCATTTCAGCAGCAGCTGACTTGGGGACACCTGGGACAGAGCAGCTGGGGTGCTGCCGGGTTGGTCCATGCAACCATGCAAAACCATGCAAAAACATGGGCCTACTTATGGTATGTGTGTTACTTTATTTCCATGAGCAGTCTGTGGTAGACATATTAAAGCATTTTAGTTAGTAACTGTGATCTAAAGAGAATGCAAATCCTGCATTTCTAAAGCAGTTCTGATATCTAGACTGTAGGCTAATACTTGAAGGTGTGTTTTTATTTACAAGGCAAAAGCTAGCAAACAGAACCTCAACTGTAGATGAATGGTTTGTGAAGAACCTTATTTTGATTTTCTTCAAAAGACAATATCTAATTATGTTTTAGTGAAAGTTCTACCTCAATAAATAAGATTTTTTTTAACAGTTTTGTCCTTTTCCATGTAGCAAACAATTCGCTTCACATCTCTCCATATTTCTAGAAGTCAACATCTGATTAGATTTCTTATGTGTGAACCATTTTAAGAGATTTATTAATTACTATTATGACATCAGAAGCTGCATGAAAACTGCAGGCCTGGATAACAATGGCTAATTTAAAAAAAATCTCTTAAAAACAGTGGTTTTGTGGATATTTTTCCCTTAAAAGAGATTATTTGGATTCTGAGGCTCCCTTGAACCAGATTTTGGAAGTTCTATGGTAACTCAGGGCATGTCTAGACTACATGCCTGTGCCGACAGAGGCATGTAAATTAGACTTCCTGACATAGTCAATGAAGCTGAGATTTCAGCGTCGGAACGTGAGTATGCAAATGAAGCCTGGGATATTTAAATCCCGGGCTCATTTGCACTTCCGAAGTGCTTGATTTGCATCCCTCTGTTGGCAGTGGGATGCAGTCTATACATAGACACGCAAAGTAGCTAAACACTGGACTTAACATTGCCTGCTGCTGTATTGCAGGATGCCTTAAGCCTACTCACATCAATAGCTTTTACATCCTTATACGTGTTGCTCCTCCTGATACCCATCATGAATTTGCTATTTGTGTGGAGCTCACAAGATAATGCACAGATCCAAGACATCCAGTGTATAACACTGTCACTGAGTAAACTGAATCTTTAGCAAAGTTTTCTTACCACCATTAAATGCTCGTCACCTACAAGGGATCAGTTAGGGCAAACAAATAGTGAATGACCCTGTAGCTTGTGCACTCTGGCTTCTGCCTGTTGAACACCTGCCACCTGATTCAGATCAACTCTGGACTATATGGCATTGTTAAATCAACTCTGCACTGGAGTTAGCTGATCTATAGATACAGTGATTAAGTGGGGCTATACCACTGGCCTTAAACGGGGGAGTTTTGGAATATAATTTGGATTTTTGGCTTGCCAAATCTGACTAGAAAGTTCCCTAGATTTGTCCCCCATTCCTGGTCACAAAGTTAAAAGCTTCTGAGTTCTACATTGGTCAGGCAGTTTTGGGACCCACAAAAGCCATGCTCACAATGTGTCTGGTACAGACATGACAATCTTTATTGCAATAAGTACTAAAAACACACACAGTATAATGCTTAAGGCAATGACTATATAAATTGTTTCAATCAGCCCAGATGGTAACATGGATATAGCCTAAGTACACAATTGTGATTACCTAATAGAATACCATCACGCCCTCCTAACAACCTTGAGGAGTTAGAGGACCAGCCTACTCCATTGATACAAAAAAGGTCTCAGCAAGAGACAAGAGATTATGATAGTCTTAAATTTCTTATGCTGTCTAAGTCTTCAGATAGTACTTGTAATCAAAGTAAAAAGAGAATGAAAATGACAATTGTGAAACATGCCTCACGCTGCTGTTCATGTGGGTTATATAGGCCTCTTTGACATCATTTAGGATCCAACCCTCAAAGCCAAAATGGATTTCCACACCCTAAGATGTTTTGTGGATGCTGATGTTTCATTGGAGAATGAAATTAAGGTGTGCCTTTCCATATACATGAGTTGTCACTTCGTGTCTTTGTGAACGTGGGGGTTTTTGACTACCAATCAGAGAAATACCACAAGCTGCACACCCTTCCTACTTTTCTGTTTGCCCCTTCAAGTCGCGGTATTTTTTGGGTGTCAGACAGTTATGTCATAACAGTTGCACCTATAAGGTTGACATCACAGACCATGTATGATAATTCTATTTTCAGGGCACAGAATGTCTGCTTTGTGGTTGATCCAGCACACTCCATTTAGACTATATTTTATGTATATAATATTTATATTAAATATATACAACAGTATTTCAAAGCCATTATATCTGTATACAATAATATATCTTTCTTCTACCTACTGCCAAGGCTAACTTCTTACAGGATAAAATTCCTGTAGGTTCTTGCATTACTAGAATGAAGACAGTGAAAAGTTTATAGATTAATATATCGGTTTGCAGGCAGGTATGCAAAGTTAGATTTATAGGCTACACCCTCAAAATTTGAATTATCCCATGTGAATGCCAAGTGCATGAGTATGAGTTCTCTTCCAGAGATCGGGCAATCGCATATGCATAGTTGTGTAAGGAAGCTATATGAGGACACAATAAGAAGCCATTGATCTCTAGTAGTTCAGTAGTTTGACTTCCTTTAATTTTTTTCAACAAAGATGCACTGCTTAATATTTTATTTAAACGATGTAATACATTATAGTAAGTTTAGGTCTTAATATAGGTTGTCATACCTTCAAATTAAATGTTAAATACATTTATTTTTATCTGTATTTAATATAGGTAAAAATTAAGGCTGCCAAGCAATTAAAAATTAACCAGTGTGCAGCGGCGGTCAAAAAGGAAAATAGGATGCTAGGAATTATTAAGAAAGGGATAGAAAATAAGACCCAGAATATCTTACTGCCCCCGTATAAAACTATGGTACGCCCACATCTTGAATACTATGTACAGTGGTCTCCTCACCGCAAAAAGATATTTTGGCCTTGGAGAGGGTTCAGAAAAGGGCAACTAAAATGATTAGGGGTTTGGAACAGGTCCCATATGAGGAGAGGTTAAAGCGACTGGGACTTTTCAGTTTAGAAAAGAGGAGACTGAGGGGGGATATGATAGAGGTATATAAAATCATGAGTGGTGTGGAGAGGGCTGGTAAAGAAAAGTTATTTATTAGTTCCCTAAATAGAAGAACTAGAGGACACCAAATGAAATTAATGGGTAGCAGGTTTAAAACTAATAAAAGAAAGTTCTTCTTCACACAGCGTGTAGTCAAGCTGTGGAACTCCTTGCCAGAGGAGGCTGTGAAGGCTAGGACTATAATAGAATTTAAAGAGAAGCTAGATAATTTCATGGAGGTTTGGTCCATAAAAAGCTATTAGCCAGGGGATACAATGGTGTCCTTGGCCTCTGTGTGTCAGAGGCTGGAGAGGGATGGCAGGAGACAAATCTCTTGATCATTGTCTTCGGTCCAGCCTCTCTGGGGCACTTGGTGCTGGCCACTGTCGGCAGACAGGATACTGGGCTAGATGGACCTTTGGTCTGACCCAGTACGGTCGTTCTTATGTTCTTATGTATGTTCTTATGGATAATAATGCTATTAATTACATTGTTAAATAATAATAAATACTGTTTAAATATTTTGGATGTTTTCTACATTTTCAGATATAATACAGAATACAAAGTGTACATTGTTTACTTTATTTATTTTTATTGCACATATTTGCACTGTAAAAATGCTAGTATAGGTATTGTAGTGCAATCTCTTTATCATGAAATTTCAACTTAGAAGTGTAGAATGTACAAAAACCCCTGCATTTAAAAAACAAAGCAATGTGAAAGTTTAGAACCTAAAAGTTCACTCGGAACTATTTCTTGTTCAGTCAGTCACTCTGACAAACAAGTTTGCTTACATTTGCAGGAGATAATACTGCCCCTTTTTGTTCAGTGTCATCTGAAAGTGAGAGCAGGTGTTCACATGGAACTGTTGTTCTGGCATCACAGGTTATGTACATACCAAAAGCACTAAAGAGTCACATGTCCCTATATGCTTCAACAACAATTCCAGAGGACATGTGTCCTTGCCGATGACGGGTTCTGTTTGATAACAATCCAAAGCAGTGCGCACTGACACGTTTTCATGTTCATTGAGTCAGATGTCACTAGCAAAAGGTTGATTTTCTTTTTTGATGCTTTGGGTTCTATAGTTTCCACATCAGTGTTGCTCTTTTAAGACTTCTGAAAGCATGCTTTTCACCTCACTCCTTTCAAATTTTGGAGGGCACTTCAGCTACAGTACTCCGCCCGTGGTATAAGAATCTGTCTTCAGAAATCTCACATTGGTGGTACTTTGTGGTTTGTCAGATCTGCAGCAAAAGTGTTTTTAAAATGGAAC